GATTTTCTTTCATCCCCCACTAGCTGGATTACATGAAGGGCTGGAGGGCTGTGTGAACAAAGAAGTGCAATGGTGGATGGATATGGGAAGAGGGTGCATGTTTGCATAAGCAGGCTGCCCTGTCTGTGTTACCTGAGCACATAATCACACACCAGCCTTCACCAGTGGTCAGGGAATGCCATTTTCAATTGGACAAGGTAAGATGTTTGGTTTAATTAACGGTGTGTTTCTGGGGGACGTGCAAGGATTCCCTCTGGAAGGTGAAAATCCAATAGCTTCCCAGCTCAACCCTCAGGAAGCCATCCCATCCTGCCCCCACCCCAAACTGATGTGAATTGAACCAGCACACAAATCTGTGCTTTTAAAATGGACTGTACTCTGCATCAGTTGTGGGGGAAAACTCTTAGGAAATTTATGCAAATTGTGATGCCAGAGAGTTCCACACATTTCTAATATTTCTGCAAATGTGGAGATGGTGTGATAATTTGTGCAAATTTCCTAAGATCAACCAAACCACCCCCAAAAAACAAAAGAAAAAAGCAAACACAAAACTCATGCAAAGCACAGTCCATTAAAAAATGAAAAGAAATCAGATATGTGCAGATATAAGGTAGTGTGGATAATATTGTTGGGAAGTGACTAAAGCACTATGACTCTGTTTTGTTGGAATTCCTTTTCTGATTCATGCATGTCTAAAACTACAGCTTTTTATTACTTTCCATTTATTCACACACCTAATCCATTTTAAAAATGCAAAGAATGATCTAAAATGGGTCCATGCCAATTTTACATGAACTGGTGCAAAGACCATCCTGTCTGTGCTCAATTTTGGTGTATTTGTGTGAAAAATTTATGCACAGTTCCCTAAGACAGACAGACAGACAGACGGATGGACGGACACACATACAGAAAAGCTAGCTAGCTAGCTGGCTCAAGCTAGCTCAGGTTTCTGAGCATGAAGACTAGTCCAGTTCTTCATGACAAGGGCTTCTGCATTTTGGCCATGGACTTCTGAGCTTGTGCATCTGCACAGCTTCCTTCCAGAGTCCCTTGACACTGGCAGCTTCAGAGGAAACAGTTGACAAGAACAGGAAAAGAGAAGTTGTGGTGCGCTCTTTGCTCTCAGCCATGACACAGCTGACCTGCTGCAGCTGCAATCCCAGCAGTTGGGGCAGGGGCAGGGAGCACGGTCCAATTGTAAGAGGCATGGTCTGAGGAAGTGCAGAGGTCTGGATAAAATAGCATCACAGTCCACATTTATTTATTTATATATTTACATTTCTATGCTGCTGTATAGACCAATGGCTCTCTGGGAGGCATATAATAAGAACCATGAGCAACCAGCATAGAACAAGTATTAAAACAATAAAATCAACTGTACAAAAATTAATCTGATGTACTATACAAGGCAGAAAAACATAATAGGCAAGCAGCAATGAATAGCCAAATAAAACCAGAATGCAGGTAGCTCCTAGGTTACAGACAAGCACCATTCCTGAGAAAATTCTTGAGTCAAATTTTATGCAAGTCATATCACATGAGTAAGCCAAATGCTTCTCTTAACATATGTGTATATTTTATCTTCCTGTGCATATAAAATCCTAAAGAACCACTTCTGTATTCACTAAAACACTTTAAACACAATACAGCATTCTCATGATGATGATGATGATACAGTAATAATAAAGTAACTACAAGTACTGAAGGGGGAGAGAGATAATATGTATTTTAGTGTGTAGGTATACAGTATTGTAAAAAAAAATAAAAGAAACCATTCTTAAAATAGTTTATAACATTCTTTCAAATCAGTGTCTTATAGAGTTGAGCTAGGGATTATCATTTTTGTATAGCAAGATCATGAATATGAAGTATTTTGAGCACTTTAAAGTACTGTATGTTGTTTGTTCTTTTTGTTTGTTCATTTACTGAGTTAGCAGAGAGTTGCTCTGCAAATTTATATTAAACCATAAGAGTAATAAAATGCCACAGTTCCAAACAAAACCAAACCTAAAACAAAGTGTTACCTCATGTTAGCAAGTTAGGAATAAAAGCAGGATTTCAAGCTTTAAAACAATAACAACAGAGGAGTAAGGAGAAGTCATCTGGGAACCTCTGTTTCTGCCCTTCTCAGAAACTGTTTTTCAGGACTACCTGTAACTGCTAAATACAAGTGTTGAATAAAAAATTCTCAACCTGGCAACCAAAAGTAAGCAGTGAAGGCGCCAGGTGCACTTCCTTCAAAAGAGTATCCCACAGGGTGGGTGGCAATATGGGCTGAAGGTTCCCCACAACCTTGTCAGGGGTGGTCTGAGTACTGCAAGTTAGAAGCAAACCTTGAGCATTGCTAGGATGTTGGATGAGAGCAGATGGACAGGCTGTTTTGTCTGGCAAATGGCATGTGCTCTCAGCAACATAGGACTGTAGAAAATGTTGTATGAAAGCACGTGCACTACAATCATCCTCATATTTCAATAATGGGATACATTTATTTATGCTTTTGATTTATAAATAGTGTCCATAACGTATGTTAAGCTGGCCATGTGGGTATCAACAATGAAGAAGGAACAAAAAAAAAAAAAAAAAAAAGAGAGAGAGAGAGAGAACTGAGATTTGCAGGAATCTGGAACATGCTAATTTATATGGAGAGATACAAATCTATTCATTACTATAATGAAGATATAAATGCAATACATTTCACCATATTGAAGTAGATTCTGACCAGTGTCACTGCTGATTCTGCTGCCCAAGGTCTAACTCTTGGTAGACAACATGAAGCTCTTGATTCTTATGATTCTTTATGCTAAAATTGGACTTGGACTGAACTGCTTCAAATAGAAGACTGACCTCTGCAAAGTAGGTCTTGTGGCCACCCTGGCTGGCAGAAAAAGGCTCCAGTCCAGTTGGTGGTGATGGTGGTGCAGAGGTGACAGTGCAGCTGGAGCAGGCATTTGGTGCTTTCACATCTCAAAGTTCAAGCAATATTCTCTGCTACTTTTATGTAGCAAAGCTTTCTGCTAGCAGTGGTGACCATTATTCTCTCCAGGTAATTTATGAAACATTTGTATGATGAGACTAAGTTATTTGTGTAATATGGGAAATGTTATATGTGGCGAAGAACTATCAATTCAAGGAGGGTGGGAGAGAAATTCATTCACACTTCATAATCTGTACACTAAAGTGCAATTATTCTTCAGTATTCACATTTATCTGATCCTTGTGACACAATTTCCCTCTATATGATATAGACATAAATATATAGATATAGAACTAGTTGAAAGTACATCCAAAATAAATTTGATTGATAAAATTGCATCTTGCACCCAGGTGTCATGAAATAATGAACAAAAAAATACTTTCTATTACAGAGTATGGGTTGCAGAAATGTGGACAAAATGCATATATTACTAGAAGTGTGGATAAACATGTATGCATATGAATTTTCATACAGTAATGGATAAAGATTGGAAAACTGACAAACCAAGAAAAACCAGAATTGATAGATTTGGTCACTCTAAAGTGATAAAGTGATAATCACTCTAAAGTGATTTGTCTACTGCTAGTCCACAGACAAAAGATAAGTCACAGGTGGCCTTTTTGGATTTTAAACTACTCTTTCCACTAAGGTTTAGAAGATAAGAGTCTTTAAAACAAAACACTTGAGTGGTGAAGTACAAAATTTTTGTCAGCTCACAAAACATGTGAATGTGCATTGTTCACAGTATCAAACATGAGTCAAAGCAGGAGAATGTGTTTTCTGAAACTGTTTGCAAGTTCTTGAACTTGTATTAAAGTGAACTTGTATTAAAAATATGAAAATTTTGATGAGGAAAGGTTACAGTCATGTGACATTAAGAATGCATCATGTCATGCTTTAATCTATGGGGGAAACTTGCACAATTTTACATTTGCTGAAATTTTACATATTTTTGCAAAACTAATCCTATTTATGCACTAATATTGTTGAATTTACAGGGAATCAAACCCAGATTTTTAAGAGTAAAAGACTCAAAACCTAAATGAATCTGTCAATTCCTTCTTCTTTTTAATTACAAGTTATTGTTGTCCTGAATATGCGGAGCTGGAGAAGTCTCAAATTTTTATCTAAACTAAATTGAAACAAAATTCTTACCCATCCATAAGAATGCTGCGTTCAAAAATGTCTATGCAATGCATGCTCCAGTTAGAAATCTACATGAAAGGTTATCCAAAGATTTCTGGAGAAATTTGCTACCAAGAAAGGTCTCTTGCAATACTAAAGAAATGATCAAGAGTCTGCTGTTGGCTGGCAGTATATATCAGCTTGACATTTAGGAAACAAAAGAGGTCTTTAAGTTGAGTTGAGTTGAGTTATCAGATAAATGGATAGATGCTGTATCTGCATTACTGACCAAATGGTACATAAAACCAAAACTCCATGGGGAACATAGGAAGCTGCCTTACACTAAGTCAAACCTTCTGCATGGAAAGCACAGAGGAGTAAGTCCCGCTAAATGCAGATTTTTCCTCCCCTATCTGGATACATCAGCAATCAAGCTTGGGACTTTCTGCATGCAATGAGCTCTGTTTATGAGCTACTAATGAGCTCCACTGCTGATACTGATCATTGTCCCACATGCTGTTTTTTATTGTGGAACACGAGGATAAGCCCTACACAATAGTACTGTAAATTACTCTCTTGACCACTTGCATTTAGATTGATCTACAGCAGGGGTCTCAAACTCAACTTACCTGGGGGCCACTGGAAGTAGAAGTCTGGGTGAGGCTGGACTGCATCAAGCGGTGGTGGTGGGCCGCTCATCCCACGGCTGGCCCGGGCACCGCCAGCGCTTTGAAGGCCGCAGGGCTCCTCCCCCATGCCCCACCCGGCCCGGCAATTGGCCCGCGGGCCACGAGTTTGAGACCCCTGATCTACAGTGTCTTCCAGGTACTGAGGTAACCTTTATGATCTGAAGCTCAAACAGAACTCATAATGAAACTCTTGCTTTTCTTACTTTCTTCAGAGGCATCCATCCTGAGTTACGACGGCAGTATGTATATGAAGATCATCATGCCCATGGTAATGCACACGGAGGCGGAGGATGTGTCCTTCCGCTTCATGTCCCAGCGGGCTTATGGGCTGCTGATGGCTACCACATCACGTGATTCAGCGGACACACTACGCCTAGAGCTGGATGGAGGCCGCGTCAAACTCATGGTCAACCTAGGTATTGTACCGAAACAATTCCCCCCTCGGCTTTTAGTTTGAGCTTGTTTTGTTTTCTTGTCCGTCTCCCCTCCCCACTCCCCCACCCCTGGTTTGGTTGAATTGAATTATAAGTAGTTGCTGATGTATTTTTTGTAACTCTATTAATTATGGAGAAACAGACTCTCCAGCTATCATTGCATGGAGATTTTATGTTAAATCCTGGTTATGGATAATGTGGTTTTTAAGTCTTTTTTTTTGGTTTCATTTAAGTTTCCTTTCTTGTACTCGAACTGGTAGCTTTGTCTAAGTCATGCTTTTTGGTCCATCTTTTGATCGGTCACATCCTCATTGATTCAGCCTTCCTGCTACTATTCAAAACAGTCAAAAATAAAGTGTGGTGACAATGGTGAAGTCATAAAGGAAAAGGTCTGTAATTATGGGGGCCTAGCTAAAAGGCTGATTTTTTTACAATTCAGATATTTTTGTTTTTTAGTCTAATGTCTTCTGTGTCCTTCTGGAAAGTGTGGCAATTAACTTTCAGGATTTACTGTACAAAAGAGATGGCAAATTCTGTCTTTCTGCTGCTTTGACCTACAACTCCCATGATCCCTCACTTTTGGCTATGGTGCTCATGGTGGATAGGAGTTCCAGGCTTAAACACCTGAAGGATCACATATTACTTATCCCTGCTTTACAAAATATAGGGTACAACATTTTCTTTAAAAGAAAAATGACAAGTGGTGAATATATTTAAATGTAAATTAATGTATATTAATTAAATTCAGGAAGATATTCAGAGAGTTTCCTCTTTCCTGCCCAAAACAAGGTATGCATAGAGGCAGAACTGCATGTAGAAAATGTACCTATTTCTACTGCAGGAAAGGGGAATTTTGTATTTAAATGTTTGAATACTCCAGTGACAGTATAGTATGCAGCACCTTTTCACATTCAGCCCCACAAAGAAAACAAACAAGAAAACTGAAATCCATCTCTGCACCTTGGGAACGGGAAGTAATGCTCCCTGTTCTTTCAATATGTCCCAACTTAGACCATTTAGACCTGCCCTTTCTCTTTGGATATTATGTTGTTTCAACACACACACAGACACACACACACACACACACACAGAGGCAATTGTCCTTTTCCCAATCCTTTCACTGGAGAAATTCCCAGGAAACAAATGGCTTTGTTTTCTGCAGCTGGCAAAAGCTAACTATTCTGAAGATATGAAGAGCCTGGCAAAGGTGGGATTCCCCATTTCTGTTATGTATGGCAAGTGAAAAGATTTGCTTTTTGTTCTGCTGTGCTTCTCTGGGCTCCTAATGGAAAAGCCAACCTCATAAGGTTCAGACTTGGGAATCAACCTTTGACTTTCAGTGAAATGGTCAAGTGATATCAGCACTTCCCATGAAATAGTTAAGCTCTTCAAGTTGAGACTGCTTTAAATTGCTTGGGAATAGTATTGCATTATTTCACTCATTTAGAAAAGGTTCATTTTAGGGACAGGAACAGGAAATTCATGAAAATACCTCTTTCAGCACTTCTCCATCAAATCCAAACTAGTGAGGGATCCTGCTCATTCTTACAGTAACCAGATTTGTCATAATGTTGAAGACTCAAATGTGGGACTGTATTTTTAAAAGCTATGTTTGATCCCAAACAATCCCAAACATAAACTCTTGCTTTGGAGGAGAAGTTCTTCAGGCCATAATGAGGTAATGAGTTCTGAGATGATATCTGGCCAGGAGATACATATTTTGGTAACCTTTGGTACCAAAAAAGATGATAAGAGATTGCTGATCTGGGGGGCAATGCAGCTGATTTTGAGATAAGCTGATGAGTTGCAAATACATATCAGAGAGTACTGTAGGACTATTGAAGCAGTATTTAAGTTCAATAAATAAATAAAATTGGCAAAGACTGTTTTGAATGGTATTAAAGATTCTTGTGCTTGCTTCCCCCTACTTTTTATTTTATTAAACATACATTTGAGTTCTCTTAAGGGTTGTCTGTTTATTAAGGTATTTTCTGTGATCATTCTATGCTGTGTATCCAAGTTGCAAAAGCTTCCTTTTACCCCATTGGTCATGGTATATCAAAAGATGGTATTCAACCCTTCAAAGGCCTGAAGCCTGCGGCCCGCACAGCAAACAGCCTTTCGAACACAGTGTACAGCGCATCCTGCAGGGGCTGGACTGTCCCTCTCACCTGCACAGCATTGTTTAGCAAAAACCAATCAGAAAGGACTTAGATGGATTTGGGGGGCGGGGGAGTTTCCTGGATATAGATATGACTCCTTTATGGAGTTGTTGGCTCTTCCCAAGGAGGGAACTCAGGGCAGCCTTATTTTCTGCCTTAATAACATATATCACAGCACATCACAGCCTCACTTGGAAAGAGTAAAAACCCAAATGTGACCGTTCTTATGACTCTTGTGAGAAATTAGAGGAGAAGGAAGGAGGGAGAGAGAAAGAGAGAAAATGCAGGCATAACTTTGTAGATGCTCCAGCGTGAATTTTGCAGCTTAAAGCGTATGTGCTGAAGAGGAGAGCAATGGTCAGTCATATGGAGGGCAGCCACCTTCATCCTTAGCTTCCTTGTCTGCTGGGCAGACATGACAGTGATTTAGAGCCGCTCAGCGTGTCCAGCCTTCCTCCCATAGTGTGTCTTCCAGGAGGACTCTGGTGAAGCTCCTGCTGAGAGGTTGGAGACACCTTCTGTAGTACTGGTTGAAGCCAGCAGGCTGTAAGGAAGTGCCTTCAATCAGCCACACTCCCCAGTCTTACATGTGGATCTTGGGCATGGTTCTTCCTTAAATGAAGGTCCTTGATTCACGGGCAAGCAATCTTGTCTTCAGAAGCCATATGATGTAAGAAATCTAATCTAATAAATATAAGAATTCATGCCATATGTGGCTACTTAATATTAAAAACATGCTATAACTGTAATACAAATCTACAATATATGTGTGTTATATTTTTTTCCTGTAGCAAAAGGAAGCATAAATACTTTCCCCAATGTCTGTATCCTACTTTTTAATATATATAAGATACCAGTACTGCTGCCATCTTTGCCCATGCCCTGCCACTTTAATCCTAGTGGGCAAGCCCGACAGGTATAATCTCAATAGGTTGCTTAAAAGAAGCTCTAGCAAACCCTGAGAACTGGGGAAGAAAGTATTTTAAGACGTTGTTCTGGGTCATCGTCATCTAAGAGAGATTGCTTGATCAGAAAGAAAAAATGAAATAAAGCAAATCCGTTAATAACTTCCTTTCTCTTTGGGCAGCTATTAACAAATTTGGTTCATTTCAGCCTTACTTTATCAGAACCATTAATGAGGGAAAGTCAAGTAGTTTCTAGAAGTTTAAGTAAATACCTGTTATGGGCAATCAATCAATCAATCAATCCCCAACCAACACCCTATTTTGAAGCAAATGTAACATTTTAAAATCATTCGGATATAAACCCTGTCTCACTTGCTCAGATATAATTTCTAACATTTTCTCTCTTCTCTCTGTCTCTCCATCCCTTTATTGTCCTGTATCCCAGCTATGGGAAGAGGTTTTATACATATAAATATATACCTTCTATCTCTGTTTATCACTCCACCAACACACACCTGAAAAGGGATAGAGCCACACCTGTATGGTGACTGTACCAAATGCTCAAGGACTGTTTGCTCCCACTTTTCTGTTGCGGTTGACGACACATGACAAACCTAATCGCACGAAACCAAACCCATATTTTCTTAAGAGAAGTTCTGCTACTCAACAGACTCTCTGTGGCTTCACTGCTCCTGATTGGTTTATTCCTGGTTACTCAGATTCTTTGACTTCCTTTCCTTTCCTTTTTTGTTTTTGTTTCTTGTTTCTGTTTTTTATGCATTTTATTTTAGTAATCTGAAAGGCTGCCCTTTTCAAATTTATAGGATATGAAAAGAAAATTCTTCTGCCAAGCTGTACTGTAGTTAGCATCATTTACTCTGCATGAAATAGAGGGCACCCTCTGTGTCCACGTTTCTGAATACCTAAGAATAGGTCTTTTGAAAAAAATAAACAATTACAACAATAGTCTAAATTGGTGGACATATGCAGCACTGACCCTTGTCCTGGGCCATAAAAGTGAAGAACTTAATGGTTACATCAGCTATCTACTGTTAAGAAATGTTACTCAGCCAGATGGTGAGACACTCAAGCACAGCCTTTTCCAACCTGGCACCCTCTGAATATGTTGGATTCTGGGAGTTGTAGTCCAACTCATCTGGAGGGTACCAGGATAGGGAAAGCTGTTCAAGCAGAGAACATGTCTTCAGCCTAAGACCTGAAGAAGGCAGGGATGCTTTCCTAGTTTCTGCTTCCATGATGTTCTGGCCAAGCTCTCAAAGCATCTATTGTATTCTGAAAGAATGGCAAACAGAAACTTTGCAGCAGAAATCCCTGCTTTCCTATTTGACCATTAATATGCACAAATAGCTTGGTGTATAACCTTTAACCTTTTTGTTTGTTTGTTTTCCCTCCATTTGTACTGTCTGAAACATCTGAGTGAAGCACATGGGGTTGTCAAAGATGACCAGACCTGCCACCACACTGCCTATTTCATCTGCTTCCTGAATGTTATAGGTGCATCATTTAATCCTAACATTCAGGCAGCAAGGTGAGACAGGGCTCTGAAGAACTGGCTGGCTGGATGTCTTTGTTATTAACCCTTCCCAACCAATCAAAAATTTACCACCCCTCCAAAATGCACTGAAATCTGGGCTGGGCGTTCGTGCGGTTAGCTGTTTGCAAGTGGCCATTTTATTATAGGGGACAAGGGGCAGTATGTTAACCCTTTCCTCGGCTTGAAAAGAAGTGACCACACACAGTTTCCCCTAAAGTATTTTGAGTTGTTGGAAGGGAAATGGGCCAATCCTTAGGAGAGGTGGAAAGGGTTAAGCGTTGCACCAGCAAATCTTTCCAAACCAATCCTATAGGTATGCTCTGTCGGATAGGTATGCACGGATGCCAAGACACTAGTTATTCAAAAGAAGCAGTGCATCAAACCTTGTTAAAAATAATCCTAGGAGGGTTTAAAAAATAGCCTGGAATGGGAAATAATTTTGCATTTTGAAAGAGAATATCTGTGCCTTTATGCCAAACTAGGCATTTTTAATTAGCAGCTCTTGATTAGAATCACTAGATAATCTTCAAGGCACCATTTTCCTTAAAAGGAAAAGAATTCTCTGAGTTGCTATATAGCGGTATATAGGACATCCCTTTTTTGCACATAAACACACAGTTCTCAAGTAGGAATCAGATCTGATATTTCTGTAGAGTATATTATAGATGTACAACGAACCATTCCTGAGTATGTATAGAATGTTTATAAATATAAAATGGCCACATCTCTTTGCGTGTGTCTGTCCCCGGAAGGGTGGACTGATTGTTTTTGGATGTCTGCAGCTGTTACCTTGAAGGATGCAATTTCATCTTTCATTTATTTTTCCCCATCTAGACTGTATCAGGATAAACTGTAACGCCAGTAAGTTTTCCCTCAAGTTTCATTTTGTTCTTTCTCTGTATTTATTGAGATATACAAATATATTAAAAAGAAATTAACATATTTTCTTGGCTGTTTTATAAACTGCTTCTTCTTTTCTTTGTACTGTATTATTATTGTTGTTATTACTATTTTAAATAAGTTATTGGCTTGAGAGATTTGGTAGATTCTGAAGCTGCGGAGGATTTGAGATGGCTGTATGTGAATGTGATGTGTGTGAGAATGATTTCTCTAGGGACAAATGAAATGCTAGATTTTCCGGGTTCACAGACAAGTATCCAGGGAATGGTAAGAACTGAAATTTATTTCAGTAGCTTTCTATGGTCCTGGGGAAAACATCCTGAGGCAGATGTGATACCCATAGAAATAACAGGTACTGTATGCACTTCTCCACTACAATACTAACCATAGAAAATATTATAACAATATATTTCAACTGGGCCACAATGGTGACTGCTTTGTGTGATATTTATATGCAATCTGTTTTAAGGGATTATATATCTTTCAAAGGTTCATCAGTGCTTAGGAAGATCTGCACACCATCCTGCTTTCTCATGCTTCTGAATTGTGAGACATTCCAGGGAAATGTTTCAAAATGGTTTCTGTCAGAGCATGTTACCATGAGGCAGACCTTGGAAGCAAGAATAGGAAACACATGACCCCTTCTCCCCTGTGCAAATAAGCATGGGTTAATAATAAAAGAAAAGGGCAATTATGAAGTAAGAGAAGTATAACAAACAGTATCTGATTTTCCCCCATAGAATGAAATATTCAATGCATCAGATGTTTTGCCCATTTAATAAGCAACAGCATCTGATTCAAAAACCCTACTTTCATAAATATTTACAACTGTTGGGCTTATTCAATTTAATATTTAATTACATTTCTTCCAAAGAGTTTCATCTTACTCTTTTTAAAAATATCAGTTTGGACTAATTTGTCTAAAAACTGTTCTTATATGATTTATTTAGAACCCTGAATGTGCTTGTTCCCCTCTGCAATGGCCTGGTCCTACTCTTTCTTCACATTATAGAAAAATAAATGAAGGAGGACTCTTCTTTTGTGTACTACTTTTTAAAAGAAACTAGGGAGAAAAGAGCCAGTTTTTTTTCCTCCAAAAATGAAAGTTATATGAGGATCTGACACATGCAAATATTGGACTGGTTTCAAAAAGCTGTATGGCTTGCATGTGTTTCTTGCAGCATCAGCCATTATGATCTCTGATCATTTTCTTTCTGGGTTGACCATGCCTTCTGTGCTTCTCTACATAAGGGGCACTTCACGCAAAAGCTAGAATCAGCCTTAAGGAAAAAGTGTTGCCCTTAGAAATCCTGTGTGGCTTGTCAAGGGATGGGACACTGGGCGTGAGCTCCATTTCAAGTATCAGATAATGCAGTCACTATTAATTGTTATGCATGGCGCTCCAGGTCTGTGTTTTTAAGAGCAAACAGAGCCATGAAAAGGGGATAGCAATTGTAATGAAGTTTGATATTTTCACCCCGTGGTCACCAAGAGTAGTGGCAGTGAGAGCTCCAACACATGATAGCAGGTAAGACTTAAGCTTTGAATTCTCTTGTTCTATTTATGTGTTGAAAGAATGGTAAGAGAGAGAGAAAAAAATGAATGTGCCATTTTATTGATTGGTAGTTCGTTCATGTTCCCTGAAATTGCCATTCTAGCTTTTTCCTCCCCCTCATGTTTTGCTTTCCTTCATTTATTCCCTCACTGTGAGGTGGTAAAAATGAACTTTGGAAGAAATATGCTTCTACAAAAAATAGAAAAAATATCAAATTACAAATGTAAGATTTTTTTAAAGAGTTTTTTTTAAAGAGACCAACCAAACTGGTAATATCACAGGTAGCTGAATACAGTACAACATTTCAGCCTTTTTTCACACAAAAATGGAAAAACACTGAAGCAACCATACATGTAGAAGCTTTATTGTCAAGGATTGACAAAATGGTACAAATGGTTTTTCCTTTCCATTACCTGATAGTCATAGACTAGTAATAAACTCTTAAATGAAGAAATGATGTGATATATATATATATATATCCTATATATATATATCCTAAATCCACTGTCCAAATACACACATCCTAAATCCACTGTCTATATAGAAAACATACCTGGAACTCCATGGAAGGAAAGGCAGTTTAGATGCCAGTTTTCAGCAGACAGTGGATTTAGGATGTGTGTATGGACACACATGCATATACAGAGGCACACACCTTCTCACAAATCTCACCTTAGCTTTTCTAAAGGGAAATGGAAAGAAAGCCATCAGCAGGGCATTGGATGAAAGGACAGAATCAACCTGCCCCTCCAGTTCATTTAAGAAGCTTTGTTTTTGTTACCTGCTGTTATCTCCGACTTAGGGTAACCCTAGAAATGAAAGGCGTCCAAAATGTCATCTCCATGACAGTCCTGCCCAACTCTTCTAAATCCAAGGTGGTTGTTTCTTGTATGGAAAACGATATCAGATTTGGCCTTCCTTTTCTTCTACCTTCAACTTTCCCTAGCATGATTGTCTTCTCCAGGGAGTTGTTCCCTCTCAAGATGTGGACAGAGTATGACAGCTTCAACTGAATTGAACTCTTACTTCAGGCCAGGATCTCACTGTCCATCCAATTTGAAGGTGGCAGGCTAATTTAGGAGGCTTAGTATAGGCTGTGCAGTTCACATGTCTCTCTCACCAGATTATGGGAATCCGAGTGGTCAAGAGGAATAGCTGTGGGGTTGCTGCCTGAGACAGTTGCCTTACACAGGGAGGGCCACCGCCTGTTATTGGCATTTGGTTGCCCATGTCAGCACGGAATGTGGAGTTCGGCCATCAGGACCATATTTTCAGTGCAAAGTGTATGTGTGTGCAATAGAGCAAAGGAACGTGGTTGCTTCAACATAATTTTGTTGTTTTGTTCATAAAGGCCTTATCTGTCAAGTTGTGTGTCCCCCTGCCTGCCCCATTGCCATCACGGTGTGATTGTTGACTGTGATGTTAAAGAACCTTGCCTTTGTTAGGGCACAACATGTCTTTTCCTTTCTATTATTGTAAAAAAAAAATTTTTTTGCACCTGGACCTTATTGTGAATAAGGGTCAAATTAGTTTCTACATTTTTAATTATCTTCAGTATTCACAGGGGTAAATTACTATTTCTTTTCTTTCATGAATACGTACGAGAGAACCATCAGTAAGCATGGAACAAAATGACGATTTTATCATGCTAATTAACAGTTACCGCAAGAGACACTTAGAATAAGCATAGGCTTGTCTTTAATTGCTTATTAAGAACCTGTTAGCATGCTGACATCTTTCTGACTGGTATAGCTGCACCTCCCTCTACAAGGAAAAGCACATTTTAAATGATTAATGTGAAACAGATATGGAATGCGGGCTTCCAATGGTCTTTGGTCAATGCACTTTCATTCAAAGCCCCTAGTGTGGTCCTCTTCCATACATCCCTGTCTTTCTAGAAAATTCTGTGAAAATGCAATTGAATAGGATTCCATAGAGGCCATCACTTTCTTTTCCAGTTCCAAAAGATAATTTTCAGTAGCTCAGAGATGCATACAGTTTGGGAAACATTGGTGTTGCTTGAGTTTACTGTTGATAGCTGCATTAGAATCCTTTTCTGAAATCACAGAGGATGGCTAGACCCCTGGCACCTTTCTCTAGGAATTGGATTGAAAATTTTTTAAAGCTCTTTAATAGAGCTTCTTCAAATTGCATACATGCAGACAATTGCTATTTACAAAATAATACAGTTAAGGCTGGAATATGCATGCATTGTATATGATCAAGAACTGTATCTTGGAAACTGACTTTGGAAGTGCAAAACCCAAGATATATATTACTAACTTTGACATAGTATTCTAAGTGTCCTCTATAGGACACCTTTAAGTCAGCTATTAGTGATGTCCTTAGAATGTCCTTTAATTTGGTTATTATGCCCCCAACAGTATTCTAACATTGCATTGCAAATTATTTCTAAGCCCCATGGTTATTAAGATATTCATAATTTGCCCTGCTAAAAACTTCTGCCCCTGGCACTCCCACATTGGCATATTGTGGTCAATCAAATACTACTACATGCCAGTTGTTCTGCCTCTTCATGGCCAGAATTTCTTCCCTGTGCAACATCCTCTCTTTTTTGACTGTGTTAGACACTGGCCTTCTGCTCACTTTCTTTTTTTCCTTTACTAAGTTCCTAGAAAAGGGGAGAGAGTCCTGGGACTCAAGAAGGCAATTTTGGATACATTCAGGGACTATCAAAAACAGCCTGTAGTCTCTTATTTATCATGCATGCTTGGAAACCATGTGTTGATCATCCTTGTGATGTGTCCATGAGTGACAAGACAGAAGTTTAAATCCAGGTATATCACAGAAGCCACAACTTTTTAACATGGCATTAGTTGATAGCTGAGTCAGGAGACTGGCACATACCTTCTAGTTCCCATTTTCCAAATGGGCTTATCTCATTGTAGTTAAAGCCCCCCTCAATAATGTTAAATCAAAATCATATGGCCTGGCTCTGTGTACGGCAGCTTCCTATACCCCTATGTTTTCTTATGAGCTCTATAAAAACAGCCTATCATCACTTCTCCTAACCAATCAGTCCTGGTTAGAATTAAGCCTGGTTAGAATCAGTCCTGTCTGATTAAGCTTAAGTTTAGCTGATTTTCTGTGCCATCCTCTTGATGTCTGCTCAGAAGTATGTACTACTGAGTTCAAAGAGGTCGGCTCTCAGGCATGTGGCTAAAGGACTGCAGTCTCTCCTCCTTCTGGGGACAGTTAAATTAATATTGTATGCTCTTTGAAAGATTTTTTTTGTGACTGAGCTCAGTGGAAGCTTTTATACCTCAGGGTAGGAAACCATAAGGTTCATTGGCTTGTAATATCAAATGGAGAAATGGTCATAGGTATTACTCTCAAAAGAAGGGGGATGAAAAAAGCAGCTTGGCATAGTCTTGCCTGTGGGGAA